GGATCCCAAAGCATGCTGCGCCCGTGTCTTTCTTCGTTTTCCCCGGGGAGAAGGAGGATACGCATGCCTTTCTTCCTTTCTCCTGGGGAGAAGGAGGACACCCATGTCTTTCTTCCTTTCCCCTGGGGAGAAAGAAGATGCCCGTGTCTTTCTTCCTTTTTCCCAGGGAGAAAGAGGACACCTGTGCCTTTCTTCCTTTCTCCTGGGGAGGAGGACGCCTGTGCCTTTCTTCCTTCCCCTGAAGAGAAGGAGGATGCGGGCAATGGAGGCCCAAGCATGCTGCACTCGTGCCTTTCTTCCTTTCCTCCTGGGAGAAGGAGGAGGCGGGTGGCGGCGGTCCAGGGGGACGAAAGGAAGAAATCAGCCAGCTCTTCTCTTCTCTGCCTGTTTGTTTTGCATGACAGAGAAAAAGAGATCAGTTGGCCAAAGGGGCGGCTGCTGGAGGCAACTCTTTTTCGATCTCCAGCCCCCTTTTCAGCACAGAAATCCTCCCTGACTCGGCCAGCTGGTCGTCTCCTTCTCTGCCTATTTGTTCTGAATGGCCGAGGAGGAGACCAGCTGCTCCAGAAGGGCAGGCAGGTGGACGGAAGTCCTGGGGCTGCTGCACATGCGCATTGTAGCAGCTGTTAAACATACAATTTATAATCTTTCATCTGTATCTGTAGCTCCATCATCTAGCAAATTTCAATGTTTAAATTCACCAGAGCAGATAAAGTTTGTAATCCAACTCTCTTTATTAGAGTTGCAGTTCAACCAGAATTTGTAAAAGTTATAATCCAAAATCCAGGTCTTGTGTAGTCGGGTTACCTAATCAAGAGATGAGGAAGAAAAAAAGAGAGAGATGAAAAAAAAAATTCTAGGTCAATTAATTTTTGTAATTCACATAGGCTTTAACTAGTCTAGACAATAAGTCTCACCAAATAATACACAGTAAAATGTTCTGTACTGTTATCTCCATTAGCCATTGATAATCTTCCCATTTCAAAGAATCCATCAAGTATTTTTGTCTAGGTCCAGCCAAGTCTTCTGTTTACATACTGTATAGCAGGTTTCAACAATTTTCTCCTCTCTGACACTAGGCGTTACTCTCCCTCCATTAATTTGATTCTTCAGAAATCCATGACACACATAAGATTCTTTTGAAATTCTAATTTCCAGCTGTACTTCTGTCATCTTTCGAGTGAAGTCCGCGATCATCGGAGGGTCCCATTTGGGATCAGAACCACCCTGGAGGTGTGGTGAAGAAGACCACCTGACAGGTAGAGCCGCATCTTTCTTCCCTGGCAAGGAAAACCCTCTCATCAGAAGACAGGCTATAGGGGCAGTCAAAATGACTGCCATGAAGACAGGGACAGTCTGAAAACCTAAGATTGTGCAGGAGTAAAGAGTTGGTGAATGGTATGTAAACTGGGTGAAAATACATTTGAACTGTAAAAGGTAACCCCAATAAAAATATCAGGAAAAAGAACTCACAAAGTTTGGGAACTGGCAGCAATCTAAAGTTAGAGAAGAATCTGTAGAACACAAAGAACTTAATTCCTAAAAATATATATAAATGGAAAGGAAATAATTTAAAAGAAGAGAATTTTTTAACAGAATGTTTGAAAATTGGAACTGGTGATTACACAGGATTGTATAGGCATTATTTAAAATGCTGTAATTGAGAAAAAAGAATATATAATTAATATTTGAAAACGTTGGTAATTTTGATGAAAGGTTAAAGAAATGGGAAAAGAAAAGGTGGAATGTGAAAACTGACATAAGAGTGACCAGCTGTTAAAAGAAAAATCCTGTAGATCCCTAAAGTCTTGAATGACCTACTTAAAGAGGAACTTAAAGAAAAAAATAAAAAGAACTGTATTGTTAAAAGTCCCCAGAAAATTGGAATATTAAATTCAAATAGGTGGAATAATATATGAAGATACCCCCTTGAATTATTGAAAAGAAATAGATTGACTGATTTTAGGACATAAAGATTTCAGGATATTGGATTTATAATTAGAAAAAGGACAGTGGTTTTTAAAAAAAGGCTGTGAGACAATTGGATAATTGGACACAAAAAACAAAATAAAATAAAAATAAAAATGAGCGAAATATACAGAGAAGTGGTGATGGAACTAGAAGCCATAAGCAGAAACTTCAAGGACATTTTGAGCAAAATACAGAGCATGGAAGAAAATCTGGAAATGGAGATGCAAACTACAGAAGAAAAACAAGAAATGAAGGAGGAGTTAAACAGAAGATAAATCAGCAAAACAGAGCAAAGGGAACAACAAATAAAGCGAAAGGATAAAAAGGAGATAAAATTTAAAATGTTAATGATTGATGTAATAAATCAAGGGGAGAATATTCTGAGGGTAAAGCAACAGGGAAGGGAATTTCAGAGAGAGGATTTTGAGAGGATAGGGGCAAAACCAGATAACTGGGAAAAGAAAGTGGAATATAATAAAGAGAGGAGGAAAAATTAAGAGAAAGGGTCAGAAATGATAGGAAATGGGAGGCAAGCTAGGAAGAGATTAACTAATACTGTAAGGAGAGTAAGAGATGATGGCTGAAGAGGGGAAGGATAAGGATTCCACATGAATGGGTGTTTTAAGATATACAATTATTAATTTTGATAAACTTGGAATTAATACTTTATTATAGAATTACTACTAAAGATAGATAAATTGTTAATTATAATAAATATAAGGCTCAATATTTTAATTGGAACAAATACGAAATTAAGACAATATAGGATTATTAAGATTTATACTTGCTAGTGGAATATGTACAAAAATTAATATGATATTGTAGGAGAAGAAATGACGTGGAATACAATAAGAAAGAAACTTAATACAGTGTATAGTAATAGATAAAAATGATTATATTATTATTAGAATGTATAATTTGCTAAATGAAGATGGAAATTACAATCTGTGTATTATAATGAGATTAGATAGGGACCTTGTTTTAAAAGGATAATAGTGGTATAATTAACATTAAAAGGGAGATAAATACTGGACAGTATAAGTCAATATAAATTTATGAATGATTATTTGAATTATATAATTTGTTAAATTCTGCAAATATGATTATTAAGAGAACATGTATAACAAAAGATACGATATTAAGAATATAGAGATTTTTATCATTCAATACTCATATGCTACTTTATATCAGAATATATTGAATGATAAAAATCGATAATACATAGTAATACTAATACTCAGATAAGAAAGTTAATATGAATATGAAATTATGGTCATATTTGTTTCAAAATGTTAAATGACCTGGAACAACACTGTTCACACAATGATGTATTTATACAAATAAAAAATGTATTATAATAAAAAAATAAGAGCACACACAGATTCTTTTGAAGTTCTCTTTAAATACTTTTTAACTCTTTAGAGCTTTTTTTAGCTCGTAATTTGATTAATTATTCTGACCTATCTGCGCTCTCAAAAAAAACTTTAAAAATTCTCTCAATGTTTGCTATGGAAAGTTTTTCTTTGTTTCTATTCAGTCTGATTGTATTTCCAGCCCCCCCTTTAGTTGAATGCCATTGTCTTCCCTCTGATGGAGGAGTTTTTTCTTTCTTTCTGTTTGGGATTTATTTGCTCCAGGCAGTATAGTTCAATGATCAAAGAGATAGAGATAAAAATAGGCTCACCCAGCTTTAAATAACAATTAAATAACAATGGCCATAGCTTCCTATATCTAGAATCGATAGCTTGCTGTGAAGATGCAGCAAAGCTCTTTCTTCTGTCACTTGAGGATTTTCTCTAGAACTACCATGCCAGCCATCGCTAGCCCAGGATCTACAGGATTCCCACCTTTATCGTCCTTTACCTCTACAGGGCAACTTTTACTTCCCTTAGGGATCTCTGGCAGAAAGAAATCAATCATGGGAAGCAGAACCCTACTTTCCCTTAGACTGTATCGCCATGACGCTGACTGGAAATTATTGGGTTAGGGTTGGGGTTAATCATAAAATGATGATTAAAAGGATATGTTAGTACAGGTGATGAACCCACCAGAGACTTTGGAATAGACACGGGAGAGAAGAAAATGAGACATAGCATCCAGGAATTTTAGAAAAGAGCAAAACATCACATGAAATGTTGTTGCAGGTCCTATTTGCACCTGCTTTATTTCAGTACACATCAGGACATGATGATTGACTTTATTTTACTCTGAATTGCCAAGAATCTGTCAAATAATAAGTAAATAAATATTTGAAAATGAGCAAAAAGTGTAATAATGCTGTTTATTACACTGTTGCTTACTGTTGGTTATCATGGTTTGGAATAATGCTGCCAACTAATTCAAGGTTTGGAGGCCTTGGCTTCCTCAATAATCCAGTTTATTGGGTACATCATATCGGCATGGTCAAAGTGAATAAGTCACAGTGAATAATTTCAGCAGTTTTGATATAATTAAAGAATAGATACTGTCCATTCTCCTTGTGTTATGTTAGCCAACCAAGCAGTTGATGAACTTCTCAGCACTCCCTCCTGCCGTTGCTAGGCACACTGATTTTTGGTTCTCAGGAACCTTAAGTGTTATTCTATCTGGCACATTGGAGAAAAACATTTTACATTCCATAAATCCCCCTTCTCCCCATAAGTGTGGCAACAAAGAAATGAAGCAATACAAATATGGCTTCAGCTAGAGTGGTTTTGAGAGTTGACATTGATTTTATTATAACCTTTATTATAACCTTTGTTATATTAAGGGGTAAAAAGAAAAAAGGTTGCAGAGATAGGAAGCTCCAGCTGATAGGAAGCTCCAGCCTAATCTATATTTCAGAGGTGGTATTCAGCAGGTTCTGACCAGCGTGGGGTTCAAATATTTTACCACCGTTCTGTGTGCATGGCTTGGTGGGTGTGGCAGGGGAAGGATACTGTAAAATCTAGAGGTGGTATTTGCCGGTTCTCCGAACTACTCAAAATTTCCACTACCGGTTCTCCAGAACTGGTCAGAACCTGCTGAATATCACCTCTGGTTCTGACCAGTTCTGGAGAACCAGTAGTGGAAATTTTGAGTAGTTCAGAGAACCGGCAAATACCACCTCTGACTAGCCCCGCCTCCCGAGTCCCAGCTGATCGGAGTTCCAGCTGATGGGCTGGGTCTTCTTTTGTTGCCTTGCACAGGAGAACAGAGCTGGAAAGCAGGTTGGTGGGGTGGGGAGGGAATGGGGATTTTACAGTACCCTTCCCCTGCCATGCCCACCAAGCCACACCCATCAAACCACATCCACAGAACCGGTAGTAAAAAAAAAAATTGAATCCCACCACTGCTATAGTTTACAAGGGAACACGAGCCTAATGAAATAAAAAATAATGATGGTTGTGTCATCTTTTTACACAGGTCTTAGAACTATAGAAGCATGTAGAATAACAAATAAAAAATCACATGCTATTCACAGTATATATTTACATGCATTAATACTTTTCTCTATCAAAATTCAGGTATATCCATTTTAAAGACAAAAAAAATCTGCTTAATTTTAAAGTGTGTGTTTTAACTATTAAGGTCACTTGCTAATGAAAAGGAAAAACCTAAATTACTCATTTGAAATTACTTTGATCCCCAAGAGCAACACATTGATTTTGTTTTTACAGTTAGTAATTTTTTAAAAAATGACTATTGATTTTCAAAAACATAAATTTAAAAGACAAATAGACAAGAAAAAATGACTTGAAAAAGGGAAAAGATCAAGAGATTTTCAAAAAAGATAAACATTTCAAAAAGAGAAAATAATAATTTGTGACTTTTTTTGGTACATTAAAAAAATGATCAAACTCTTACTTTTATTTTGTGCACATTATTTCTATAATTCTATATAATTCTAGACACCAAATCTCAAAATATTTTCATTTTTTTGCAAAAAAATTCAAGTGATTTCCAAGTAGAAATAAAATTAGCCTTTTTTTTAATTAAAGCTGTCAATGTTGCCATCTTCAATAATTACATCAGCTTCACCATACATTCTTCCTTTGTACAGTGCATTGTTGCAAAGGGTCTGAATACTTATGCTAAAGTGATATTTCAGTTTTTTAAATTTTTTTAATTTAATTTCTTTTTACATACATTTCTAAAATTCTGTTTTCACTTCCTCATTATGGAATACTAAATGTAGATGAATGAGAGAGAGAAAATCAACAACTGTAGAATCAGCATAACAAAATTGACAAAAGTGAGGGGGATCTGAATACTTTCTGAATGTACTTAATTCCTTCCACCTTTGCGGATATGGAAAAGGAACGTTCCATAAGATGTTTCTTTTGTTTGTCCATTAAACCTAAAATAAAAACTTCTGGTTTCAAATTACATTTCACATTTAAAATGTTCTGGATTAGAATACATGTTCACTCACTATTTTCTAGCTTTCTTGCATGTCCACAAAAAAAGTATCCTCAATTTGATTCAGCAGATCAATATAAGTTAACCGTTTTTGTTTAAATATATTTTTTCTTCTTGACAGTTTTAGTTTTAGTTCTGAGTTAATATACAAAGACAATCTTTTTTAAACATGATATAAAGTTTTCAGTCATAACCTTACAAATCAAATATTTCACCCCGTTTTTAATATGTATTTCTTCCAAACAGATTCTAAACATTTTGTCAAATAATGAAAGGTTTCTTTTTTTGAGAAGCATTTTGTCTATATATATTCCATATTAAAAATATGCAGTCTATATTCAAGAAAAAAAATTATCAAAGCCTTTAGGTGTAGCTCCCAAAACAAAAAACTATTTTCAGTGTCTTTTATCTGTTTTAGTGCTTGTGAATTTTTCAAAAAGGCCATGGCTATCAGAAGCAAATATTGTGTAGAGGTGGAGAAATAAGAAGTAGGATAAGGATTAATTTGACATTGTCAGATCTTACATCCTGATATATCTTTTTAGGTTCCTGTCAGGTTCAGGTTCTATATGGTCTATTTGTCCCACTAAAACCAACAAATACTTCATGATTCCCACTATCATTTGCTGATTTTTGTTATGTGACCATATCTATAATTTGGTGTGTTTCTCTCTCTCTCTCTCTCTCTCTCTCACACACACACACACACACACACACACACACACTCATTCACTCACTCACAGACACACACTGCCTCTCTTTTTATGATGCTGTAGTCCCTATTTGGGATAGAGTCAGGTGACTGGATTGAGGTGTTCTTCATGATGCTTATGCAGAGTTGATAGATTCTTTTTTTTGGTCAAGTTTTTTATTTTATATTCTTTATACATATCAATATGTGAATAGTGTGATACCTGGGTATCATACATTTTAATATAAGCATAATATTATTGTTCCCAATCATTACATTTTATTTTCATTATTTCGTATTATTTACACATATCTTATACTTCCGCCCTTCATTTTCAAAACCTCCCTCTTCTTGTCCCCTCATATTTCTATCTCTTTTAATTTTAATTCCCCCCATATCATAGTAATATTTAGACATGTCTTTTTAATCATATTTTCCTTATTTATGTCTTCCATCTATTTGTATTAAAATTTCATCCTTCTTTCTTTCTTTCCAATATCTCAATATACTCTTCTAGTACCAATCACAATCTTTTAAACATTTAAAATACATCTATTCATGTTCTTACCAATCATCCAATCCATGTTTCTACTCTGTTAATACACATATTTACATTAAGATATATTCTTTCATTATCTAATCACCCATTGTTTAATTTTATCATTTTATTGCTAATCATATTTTATGCATATTTAATGTCATCATTCAATCTCTAATTTTCCAATTAATACTACTTATTTATAATTTCCATATTTCACTCTTCATATCTATTTATATTATCCTAATGTCTATCACATTACATACAAGATAGTTATCCAGCCTAAATAAATCTAATATTTATACACCCATGTTTATTAAAATGTATTCATGGAAGATCTTTACTCTTTTGGTTTTTTTTATTCATCATCTCTTGTTCGCATCAGAACTTTTGTTCTTATATTCTGATTCTACAATCTAACTTTCCCTCCCTTCTCTACCCTTTCTCACTAATTGTAAAGCTATCTGTTCTAGCCCCTATCTCCCCCACCCCAGATATCTTCCTGTTTCTCTCATTCCCTTTTTAAATCTTTAAAACATTTCCCTCCTGTTTTAGTTTCTTAATCATTATTAATTTTAGTAGCATCTCCTCTTTGTTGTCTTCTTTTTGCTGTTTTATCAGTTCTGCTTTCCCCTCCATTCCTTCTGGTAGCTCCTTTCTTTGCTCCTTGTCCCTTGTATAATATTGTCCAGTTTTTGGTCTATACAATCAAATATTTTCACCATCACCGTATGCTGTTCCTGTAAAAGGCCCTTAATGCTTTGAAACATCAGCTCCATTCCGTTTAAAACTCTGCTCCTTCCACTTTGCGTTGTGACTTATTTAGTTTAATAATTCTCCTTTTTGGCCAGTTGTCCAGGATTCATTGATTCAAAACAGAGTTTACCAGATCACAATTTTTAATATTTCATCACTAGTCAGTCAAATCAGTTTTAAATACACCAGGGTGTTTTCCATGCCTCTTCAAGTCATTGTTATACATTCAATAACATTCAAGGGGCTTTTAACTGAAATTCTTGTTATTCAAATTTCCAGTGGTCTTAAGAGTGGATGTATGTAACCCAATGAGTATTTTCAGTCCTTCAGATGGTTATTCCCAGTCTTGCATAGTTGCCCTCTCATCAGCAGATGGAGTTCTTATTTCAGCCTGTTTTAACCTCTCTGCTATGTTGCTGGCAAGTCCAATTTTAATTATTTTAAATTATAAATCCAATAAGTAGGCAGTATTTATAAAAAAGATTTTAGGACCATGATTCCAGCATTTAAAACTTGAGCACTTGAATTGGATGACTGTTTTTGTGTGTCTGCTGTGAACCCTTGGAAGGAGATTTCTAAAGACTCCTTTAGAATGATAGAGAAGAAGAAAGAAGTCTCGAAAGAAGCAAGAAAGACATCACGAAATCAGCAGCTTATAAAGAAAACGCATATAAAATGTTTTATAGATGGCACCTGCCCCCTTCGAGATTGGCGAAGATGCACCCCAACACGAGCCCCAATTGTTGGAAATGTCAAAGCATAGAAGGTACCTTCTTCCATTTGTGGTGGTCGTGCAAGGAAACCCAGAAGTACTGGCAAAAAATTAGGCGCTGGCTAGAGGAAATAACCAAGGAACAAATAGAGTACAAACCAGAGTCCTTCCTTCTAGGAATTTTCGATAAACAAATACCCAAAAAATCGAAGTATATTGTAATTCATATCTTAACCGCAGCCAGACTGGCATTTGCCCAGTGCTGGAAATTATCTTCCATTCCCTCTGAACATATGGTTATTCAGAAAATTTTACAATGCGCCGAAATGGACAAACTAACCCAAGCACTAAAAAATAAAGAATCCTCATCATATTACAACAATTGGAATCCTTTGTATAATTGGCTAAACCAAAGATAGATCATCTCTAGGAAAATTATGGCCGAGGGCCTCCGAAGCAGAGATAAAGAAAAGCACCGCCGATGATACTTTTGAGGAAGAAAGGATCTTACAGACAGTCACAAAATATGGTTTTATTTTAACTGTTTTCCCTACTCTATCCTTCCCCTCCCTTACTCTTCCCTTTCCCCTCTCTTAGGCTTTCCTCTCTTCCCCTCTTGGTCTATGCCAAGGCCTATTTTTCTTTTTGTTGTACATAATTTGTAGTTGTGTTGTTCTTTTAAAGGTAAAACTAATAAAGTATTTTTCCAAAAAAAAAAAAAAAAAGAAGCAAGAAAGACAGGAGACCGGAATAGTGACTGTGCAGAATGGAAAGAAGACATTTTGACTGAAGGAGATCTGACTGTGAATTTATAGAGAATATGCTATCTTAATTATTCTTAAATAGTAGAGATAAATATATCAAATAAGATAAAAGGAATTATAATTGATGGTATAATTAATTAATCCATTAACTATAATTAATGGATATGATAATCTATATTATTTTATATTTATTCTTTCTTT